CTTTCAAAGAGTTCTTACATAAAACTGCCGCCACTGTTTTCCATTTCCAACAACTAACCAAAACCTACTTAGACCACGGCTCCTAGTCATGGTCAGTAATGTGTCTAGAACTTCTAGAATACCTTTATTGAAACACTATAATTATTCTCACACTCATAGCAACTGAAAAGGTGACTGATTCTGCTGTAATTCCAAGCATTGTTAGTGGTTAATCTGATATTTTAGGCCTTTGGTTAAGTCCAAAACAATGGGAGTTGGCCATTTCTAGAGTTTAACCCCTTTTGTTTCCAACCAAAACAATGAAATATGAGTATAGCTGCAATATTCATCATCTTTAACCGCTTAGTCTGGATAAGGTCACGGTATAGCTGCAGTATTGCATGTTTGAAATACAACAAGCATGATTATTATATTTAAAAGCAGCCAACAATTAGACATAATTTTATTACATAGAAATCAGCCCTTTTCTGAATGTATAGAAGGCCTTGAGGGTTCCCCACTGGATTAAAGGGTAAGGAATTGTCATGAATATAAACTTGATCATTACTTTATGTTGTTTGCAGCTGTATCATCTAAGGCTCCTTGGTAGGCTTCCACACGGAGCTGAAAGCTGACCAGCGTCCCAGACTTACACCATTTGATATCTTTCCATTTGCCCCAGCTGGTGAAAGAGCACAAAGACAGAGAGCATTACTGTTTCCCAAACCCTTACACGAGATCAATATCCCACTGCTTATGTCTGGAAGTCACTCACCTTCCTGTATCAGACTGCACTGTGGCATAGTCAGTATAAGGCCCGGATTTGCCTTTGGATATGTCAACACAGTGAAGGCGAATCCCATTCAAGGCAGTGTTGTCCCCTATTAACATAGATTCCCAGTGGCCTGCAACCTAAAAACACATCACTTTTACACTCAAGACAGAAGTGAACTAATTTAGTATCATTCTTCTGTCAAATGATCTGCCACTACAGCCCAGTCGAATCATTTTAAACATTCATCCACAATCAAATAGGTTTTATTTTATTGAAAACATTGATTCTAAATCTTTTTTATAGCTAATCTTTTAAAATAAGATTGTCTGCCACTATAGGTGCTGAGTTGCACAGTGACAAAAGCTGAAATACTGAATGCTTTACTATTCACAGTTAATAAATAAATGACCGAACTCACTTATTCACAGTATTTTCCATAAAGTCTCATGTATGTGTGTGTGTGTGTGTGTGTGTGTGTGTGTGTGTGTGTGTGTGTGTGTGTACTGTAGTACCCTCTGCTGGACCAAATCAGTTTTACTTCTCAAGGGGAGAAAAAACAGCAACTTACTTTAAGGCTGAAACCTGTGGCATAGAATCCCGATGGACACATTTCTTTCTGGCCCCAGGTGCCCCAGCGATGACCATTATCCACAATGAGCATTGACTTAAAAGGCCTGTCGATGCTTCGCTCAGCCCTGTTTCCTTTGACAGAGGATCCAAAAGAGGCCAGAAACAGAATCACTGTAATGCAAACTAGCCGATGCATTGTTGCTGCCTCAGTGGACCGCAAAACAGAACTGTCCTTTCTGTGCCTTCTTCTGTAGTCCTTCTGCAGCCTAGCACTCTGAGTCTAGAGGAGCTAGATCAGAGTCAGTGCCAAAACTGCTTTATGCTCAGCGGGAGACGACTCTGACCCCAACAGACATACAGCTGTCCCATCCCCCTTTTTTGGTAGGACTGGCCTATTGATTCCCCAGCTCAGCTGTTGTTTTGAGACCTTGATCAAGAGCAGGAGTTAGACACAGATCAGTGGAGTTCACAAACATCAGGACTGTCCAACAAGAAGTGGTAACGGATAATCCTGTTGATTTGGTTTAACTTCTGGTTGTGAGCTCTCACTGTAAAGGTCCTCATTTTGGCCCACAAGCCCAGATGCATTCAAACAGATGTGAGTGCAGGAGGTTAGTCTGATGTGGAGATTCTCAGAGATGAGAGCTAATTATTAACTCATTATGTAAACGCTGGAAAAAACAAACTGTCGTATTTGTCTAGGGCACACTGTGAAAGATGGAACAGGGCAGAGGTGTTTTTGAATTGATGCAAACGGTAGTTCCCAGACTGTGGTATGCATACCCCCCGTAAATAAAACATCTAACATTAATCTTCATTTAATTTAATTCCATTAGCTTCTAGTATTTTGCTCTTCTATTACAAGAGGTTGTATTAGAGAAGGAAGTTTGAAGAATATGTATAAATATATATACATATGTTCCACTTGGATGTTGTCATGCATCTCTCTGGCTCTGAAGTCCATAAACTCTATCTCCCAGAATCCTCTGGGAGATCACATGCCTGCTGACCCTCCACAACGCTCCAGTCATCTTTCACACACACCTGAATACCAATCTGGTTCACCTGTTCTTCTGGTCATGTGATTAGTTGGAGTCAGGATAAAGCCCAGGCTTTTAGACTGGTTCCTTTGTGAGGTATTACTTCTTCTTGTGATAATTACTGAGTATATTTTCTGAGTGCCCTTTGTATTTTTTGAACTGCCTTGGATTCTTTTGACTTTGGCCCAATCCCATTTCGCCCCTTGCCCCTACCAATTAGCCCTTACCCCTCCATTTTGGGATAGGGTGTCCCGATTTGTGTTCAGATGGAGGGGTAGGCGAAGTGTTAAGGCATCATGGCCCTCTAAACAGAGTGTTATCAGAAAAAAGCAAGATTGCTGCAAAGACGACCAAAGAAATCCACAAATGTGAATTTTCTGTTAAAAAATTTACAATAACCACTGTATTATCTTAGTTTAATGTCGTTTCAGTGTATTAGCAGTAAGAGAGCAGCAGTCGAATATAATTTATATATGTCAAACGGAAATACGAGTTCCATTTACAATCTCCTTTTTGGGTTATGCCATCAGTGCTAATGGGGTTAAAATGGATGATTTATTAAGTTGACGCAGTAGTGAACTGGCCCTGTCCTTCATCTTTGAAAGTACTCCAGCTTTTCTTAGGTTTTCCTAATTTATTCAAAACTTCAGCAGCATCACAGCACCTTTTAACAGCTCTATTAAATGAGTCTACAAAAAGATTTACTTGAAATCCTCAAGCTGAGGAGGCATTTGAAGTGCTCAAAAGGGCTTTCACGTCTGCTCCTGTTCTGAAACACCCTGATCCTTCTAAACTGTTCATTGTAGAAGTAGATGCCTCAGAAACAGGGTGGGTGCAGTTTTGTCAAAAGGTCAGGAGAAACATCTAAATTGTATCCCATTGCGCTCTTTTCACATAAGCTGATGCCAACTGAGCGTAACTACGGTATTGGGATTGCGATTAGATGAATGGAGACACTGGCTAGAGGGAGCTGATCATCGCTTCACTGCCTTGACTGATCACAAAAACCTAGATTATCTACGTATAGCCAAGCGTCTCGATCCCCATCAAGCACGCTGGTCCTTGTTCTTTTCAAAGTTTAGTTTTCACATATCCTAGCGACCCAGCTCACGTAATACTAAAGCCAATGTGTTGTCTCGAGTCTACCAGATCCAGGAGGAGTTAGATAGCTCTCAAGAACCTGAAAACTTTCTGCCACCACATGCTACAATTTCCTCCATCCAAAGGAAAATAGATGAAGAAATAGAGAAGGCATTAGTGTCCTGTTGACAAGCTTTATGTACCATCTCAATTTAGAGATCGTCTCATCACATGGGCTCACTCTTCACTTACTTTAGGCCACCCAGGTGAAACTAGAACTCAGCAGTTCATGGCGACATTCACACCTTTGTATCATCTTGTTCTGTGTGTTCTCAGTGTAAGACACCTAAGACACTCCCTGTTGGCAACCTCATGCCATTACCAGGCCCTAGCAGATCCTGGTCCCATACAGCCCTTGACTTCATCACAGATCTTCCTATATCTCAGGGACTTACTACCATACTTACTGTGGTCGACAGATTTTCACAGAGTGTTAGATTCATTCCTTTTTCCTCACTGCCCACTGCTTTTCAGACTGCTGAGACGTTACTAAACCAGGTGCTTCGTTATTTTGGTATACCCAAGGACGTTTTATCTTACAGAGGCCCTCAGTTTACCTCCCAAGTTGCTTCTACTTGTGAAAGCTACTGAGCGTTTTGTCTGATTGCCCTTTGTCTGTTACGATCTTGCCTTGGACTCTTTGACTTTGCTTTTTGCCTTTTGGATCTGGTTGCCTGGTTTTGTTATGTTTGTCTCTCTTTGTTTTTTGGCCTTTCTGGATTTGACCCTCGCCTGTTCGACGACATTGAGTTTTGCCGAACCCCTTTTATAATAAAGGGTCATTTTTCACTTTCTACTATGAGCGTTCGAGTGGATTGGTTTCGTTACACAATTACCAACAACATCTAGACTATCAGGCAACAAGGGCGTAGCCACAGTTGGGCCTGGACCTACCCAGATTGATCACAGGCCTATATGATCAAATGGTGACAGAATAGTTATTAAGCTGCATTTTTTTAAGACAATGACATTTGATTTGTTTTCTGTGAGTGCTGTCATTGTATTATGGCCAATCAAAATCATTACACAGCTGGACTTGCTTGGAGGACTCCAACTGCCCGTTCTCTCACGTCAGCTAACATATGTCTGTGCTAGATAGCATCGCACTGAGTAATGAGGGGCAAGGAGAGAGGGCCAACTAGAGAGCATGGGGCCAACTGTGCTTTCTTGTACTTCCAGCCCTGGATGGTTAGAGCATCAATGGAGATGGAATCTCACAAAATCCCCTGATGATAGGGCCAACATTTAGACCATTGCACCACTTGGGTCATTTTTGAAAATGCCTTTTATTGTGAAATGTAGGAAGCATAGACCCCTGAAGTCGTGCGTCATTCTGAAGTAGGCGCTGTGCCCATATAAGGAACATTGACTCCAGAAAGATGCATGACTTCAGCGGTCTGTGGTTCCTACATTTTAAATGTATAAAAGGTTGAATTTAAATATATTTGCTATATTTTATGATGTCTGTGTTGATCATAGTAACACATCAGTTTATGTTATGTTATGTTTATTTAGACAGTTTCTCGAGAGCCCTGTAAAACACAGACAGAGATAAGAGAAAGGCCGACAGATGATCCATCTTGTTTTCTTCTTAGAACGCATCATTCTAGATGAAATGACAGGCGGCACCTGGAACATAGAGAACAGAAAGACGTCCTGTCAAACTGTTGTTCAAAGTCAATCAGGTGTCTACTGGTATAATTAAACAACAACACGCTTTCAGTACCATAGATGTTAAAATAGCTGAATTAGATATATTGTACCTTAATCGCAGCAGAAGAACTTGACGTCGTTGAGAGTGGTGTCGTCTCCTGACCCTTGTGATCCCTCTACTTTTGTCTGGATGCCACAGAACCCCTTTCCTCTGCAGTATTTACTCCAGCCGCCCCATTCACCCCAGGACGTGCCCTCACCGACAAGATTTCTGACATCTCCACTGCACTCGAACCTGGCAATGATTCAGGTTTAGAGCACACTTTAACTTACTGTAAACTATAAAAATAAACACAACTTCGCTATTAAGGATCACGCCAGAAACTCTTTATTCAGTCCACATAGGAGACGTGTGAAACATTGTGCAGAGGGATACAGCTGCTGAAGTTGCTGCAGCGGTTTTGGAAAGTAGTGATGAAGATAACGGAGCATTTTGATATGAAACATATGGCTATTATGTTACATAAGTGCCTTTAAAGGTGAATGTAAGAAGAGATGCACAAATCAGGAAAATGCCTCTAGATTAAGATTATGGAACGGTCATGAATGCAAAATCATTGTCATTACATTGACCTTCAACACGGAGCTGAAAACTCGTCAGCATTCCAGACGGACACCATTTCGTATTTGTCCATGTACCCCAGCTGGAAAAACATCATGAACACAGATGGCATTGTTATTTCCACAAAACCTCAACAGAGGAACCAAATCTCACACCAATGTAAAGCCACAAAGAAATCAAGGGAAACATCTAATAGTCCTACAGATCAGAATGAGTTTTTTTTCTACCTTTTTTTTCTAAGGGAAAAAAATCAGCCCAAATAATCTCAAACAAAACTCAAATTTGTTACTCTTGTTTGGTTAATGGTGAGTATATGTGTAAATGTATGTAAGTGTTGGAGATGCAGGCTTGTATATAAAACTACACAGAAATTACACTGCAATGTACACTGTATTAAACAAATATACATGGAAAAATAAAAGTAAGACAAAGGTTAATTTTGCAAGCCACCCACCTCCCTACTTTAGACGTTACCGTGACGACGTCTGAAAACAATGACTTGCCAGTGGGTGTGTTGACACAGTGCAGACGAATTCCATTGAGTGCGGTGTCGTCCCCGTCTACTGGGTATTCAACCTAAAACACATCACTATTTAATGCATTCATTTCACTCTTCACTGTGTACTGTATTTATTTTGTCAGGCCTAACCCTGCGTTCACACCGGCAGCGTTGGCAGCGACTTTGCGTCTCTTGACGGTCAAATCGCCTGTGAGCGTTTCTGAATCCCAACTGACCGTTGGTTGCCATGGTTTCACCGATGCCAAGTACAACTCAGACGCGTTCCCGCTAAAATTAAAACTCCCGGTGAGAAATCACTTGTGTGCTTATTTTTATTTAATCCCTGTGTCTGTGCAGTCAGTTTGTGAGGAAAACAGTACTTGGTCTTTGTGATTCCTGTCTGTTTGTGGCGAAAGCACCAGCATCACTATTCCATCTCTAGTAGGAACAATTATCAAGGAAAAACAGAAACAGAGCATACTGTTTCACAGGGGCGGAGATAAAGCGCGTAGTACGCTGCTGAATGCTCAATTCCTATTGGTAATTGGCGGAAATCACCAGCCCTTATTGAAAATAAATGACCGCTGGCTGCCTGGTTGCGTCATGTCACTGCCAGTGTGAATGCAGGGTAACTCAGAACAGAGCTGGTGTTGCGGCAAAACTTATTATTTCAAAGAAAAAAACCACAGCTACGTATACATTCATCATACATCATCTAAACCGCTTATCCTTCTGGGTCACGGTGAGGTGCTGGAGCCTATCCCAGCTGTCATTGGGCGGAAGGCAGGATACACCCTGGACAGGTCGCAAGTCCATCGCAGGGCAGACAGACATACACATTCACACACACCTAGGGTCAATTTAGCGTGTCTAATTAGCTTAACTGCATGTCTTTGGACTGTGGGAGGAAACCGGAGGAAACCCACGCAGACACGGGGAGAACATGCACACAGAAACGACCCTGGTCGCCGGCCGAGAATCGAACCCAGGCCATTGTCGCTGTGAGGCAACGGCGCTACCCACTGCGCCACCGTGCTGCCCCCACAGCTACGTAACAAAATGCCAAGGCCACTGGCTTTCATGTCCTTTTATGTCATAGAACAGTCTCTATATACCAACAAAATTCACAAAGGCTTTGATTGCTTCAAAGTTTCACTCTGTTCATGCCTACTCATCAGCAATCTTTGCAGTTTAGGAAGAGCAGGGATTTTTTTCCAACGTAAGCACCCTGAACTCAATCAAAAAGTGGTGGGTTGTCACCCCAATATTTTAAAAAGTGTTGGGTCAATTGCCCACTCGCCTTCCGTGGTTACAGCAGGCCCTACGCCTCACACCTTTTTCCCCTATCAGTTTGCCACCTCAATAAAATCGTGGCCTCCCCATTGAAAAGGTTCTGGCTACTCCCCTGGGGGACAGAACCAGTGCCTGCTTTTTAAAAGAAGAAACCAGGACACTTACCTTCAGACTGAAACCTGCAGCGTAGTAGCCTGCTGGACACATTTCTCGATCACCCCATGTGCCCCAGGGTCCACCATTACTAACAGTATGTACCGACTTATAGGATCTGTCTCCTTTGACAGAGGATCCAATGGACGCTAGAAACAGAATCACTGTAATATAAGCTAGCTGATACATTGGTGCTTCCTCAGTGGATTGTCAAACTGGTCACTCTGGGTCCAGAAGGGTTGTATGAAGAGCTGTCCAGATCCAAAGGTGCTTTATATTTAATCAGGACTCTGATGACTGAACGTAACGCACGTTTCAGCTGTCCAGTCACCCTTTTTGGCAGCACTGGACTATTGATTTCCCAGCAGAACTGCTGTTTTGGGACCTTGACTGTGGAACTGAGAGAAGGCAGATTTTTACTTAAGATGAATATCAGTGCTGCACTGTTAAAAAAAAATGAGTCTGTAAATATAGTCACTTACTGGCAGTCAAGAACTATAACGTATGTTTAATAACACTGTAATGTATTTTTAAATGTAGTACAGAACTGGATTGTTTTGAGACTACATGTTGACATAGTATTGACTATCCTCTTTTCTGAACATTATATATATACTATAAAGTCAAAAGTGTGTGGACAACTGAGAATCCCATTTATATGAGCTGGTTGGACGCCCCATTCCAAAACCATGGGCATGAATATGGAGTCAACCCCCTTTGCGGTTATAACAGCCTCCAGTCTTCCTCTTCTAGGAGGCTTTTCACAAGATTTTGGAGGGAAAACATCCAAAGCTGGAATGTGGGAATTTGTTCGCATTCAGTCAAAGGAGCATTTGTGTGGTCAGAGACTTGTGAGCCAGACCCTCTCGTCCGTCACCATCGACGTTTCAGTTCATCCCAAAGGTGTTCAATGGGGCTGAGGTCAGGACACTGCTAGGAAGTTGCTATGGTGTCCTAGGTGGTTGCTAAGTGGTTACTAGGCAGTTGCTATGGTGTCCGTAGTCTTTGCTAAGCAGTTGCTAGGCAGTTGCTATGGTGTCCGTAGTGGTTGCTATGGTGTCCGTAGTGGTTGCTAGACAGTTGCTATGGTGTCCGTAGTGGTTGCTAAGAGGTTGCTTGGTGATTCCTATATTGCCGTAGGTGGTTGCTAAGCGGTTGCTATGGTGTCCGTAGTCTTTGCTAAGCAGTTGCTAGGCAGTTGCTATGGTGTCCGTAGTGGTTGCTATGGTGTCCGTAGTGGTTGCTAGGCAGTTGCTATGGTGTCCTTAGTGGTTGCTAAGAGGTTGCTAGGTGGTTCCTATGGTGCCGTAGGTGGTTGCTAAGCAGTTGCTATGGTGTCCGTTGTCTTTGCTAAGCGGTTACTAGGCAATTCACTGATCTCTTCAGTATGACCCATTCTACTGCCAGTGTTTGTCTATGGAGATTGCATGGCTATGTGCTTGATTTTACACAACTGTTGGTAATGAATATGACAAACAGTCAAACTCAATCATTAGGAGGGGCGTCCATATACTTTTGGAAATGTAATGTATACACACACATTAGGAATTGAAAGACCCAACAGTAGTACTTTTAAAGAGTCCAAAATCTGAACAAAAGAATCAATTCTTTCATTGCAGTTTTGCGTAAAAATAAATAGCTTCTTTCAACAGCTAACAGGCTGACAGGCTCCCATCATTAGGCTTTAAGATCAAGTAATTACCAAAGTATTTACTGAAAAACACGAACAAATAAACATTGTTCATTTTACAAAGTACAAATATGTTACAAGTCTTACAAGCTCCAGAGGTCAATGTTTAAGCTTGAGCTGTACAGCATTAGACTTACTGTGGGGAAAGTGAATGTATCCCACTGTTAGCTTGGCGCTATTACTAGCAAATCCAAGAGACACTGAATCCCATAGCTAGCGGGAATTAGCGTTATTGTAGCAGATATAGGAAAAACGAATGGTTCTACCTTAAATTCTGCTGTATAATGACATATCTGACAAAAAATAGAAAGTTCATGAACTCACTTTTATGCTGGTACAGGTGCTAAGTAAGCTAGCATGCTATAAGATTGCTGAGTAGAATTAGCTAGCTAGGCAAATGTTAACTAACTTTACCACTAGTTTCGTATAAACTTTCACTCAAATTTTCACATGTCCACAGATAGAAATGCAGCTCAACAGCTCTTTAACATTTAAATCATCAAAAGCTGAAACAAAAATGAAATTGCTGTGAAGACAATGAAAGTTGTTTTGGTGCCTAGTTTTACAGTAAAGCTGATGATCATGTACATTTTGATGTATTACAACTATAATAATTTTAGACATACAATGAAGTGTTTGATAATCTGCCTGTACTGTAAATGTTTTCCCAGAATTCAAAATGGGATGCTGCTTAAAACTGTAAAACATCAAACGAGCCTAAACACACTACAGTATTGTAGAAATTACAGGAATTCTTTGTACTGTAATAACATGTGAAACATATCCTGTTTTACAGAATGTGCTGTAATTATAGTGGATCATTTTGTAATATCAAATGAAAAATGGTATACTTTGATATTAACAACATTTGGAGGTTTGTGGATAATCAGTCACTGCTTGACGTAGGATGTTTGTACAGTTTGCGTAATGAAAATTGGGTGCCAGGAACAATTCTGATGAGGAGATTTAGAGTTAATCATTAATTCTTGTCAATGCAGAAAAAAAACAAACAGGAACAAACAGTTTATCCAACTAGACCATTTACCGTACAGTATGTTGCCTGTGCTCCTGAAATCATCACGTCCCCCACCAGCAGTTCCCCTTTTAACTAATACATGTTACTGATTTTCTGCCCCCCACTGCCCAACAGTGCGCACTATTTCAATTCACAATGCCACCATCAAAGAAAAACAGAATAATGTGAACATTAATACCTTTATTGTTATCGTACAAGTACAAAGAGCCTTAGTGTGCACTTCTCTACAAGCTATCTATATCAATAAAAGAAATAACATTGGATAGATGTTCACTTAATAATTAACAAACTGTCTGTTAAAACTCACAGATTCTCAACAGTGTTAGGATTAGGATCAATACTAGGATTATGTTTTGGTTTTGGGTTGAGGTTAACGTTGGGTTTAGGATAAAGGTTTTTTAACCTTAGAATGTATGACCCAAATGCATAAAGGAGGTAGAAATGTCACATATTGGGACTCCTGAGTGCCACAAATAGTAATTTGTGGTCTCAGTTAAGTCATTCCTTGCATCGATATGTTAATTTGTGGCCTCAATATAGTTACAGCAACCTTTTGTATGGCTGTTTGGTTTCAAGTAACATTAACATAGCACAATCAACAATGTCATGTTATGTGATGATTGAGCATCACTTAGAAAAGTTGCACATAGAACCATCACAAATTCAGCAAGTAAAAATGAAAAAATTAACTCGATATCATGAAATTTAAATGTAAATTAAATGTTACTACTTAAATATTCAAACTTACAACCTTCTGGTGGGAGTAAATGCCAAGCCTGTTGCACTACTTACAGGGTCCTTAAATGTTTAATAACTTGTCAAAAATATTTTTGCTGTTTTTAACTTCAAAAAGCAATGTAGTAACATACAATGCAATGGTCAACATCAGCAGGTTGTGAGTTTGAACCCTGGAGATCCTGCATTCTGTCTATATCTGGAAGTCCAAGAAGAGAACATTGGATCATGTGGGATCAATGGGGAAACTAAGTAAAAAAACAAATTATATATTACTTAACTGAACCACAGGGCACTTTTCCACTTCCCCTCCATCCATTTTAAATGGGGCCCAGAGAAGGTGTCAGAGTTTTGGGGTCCTGTTTATATTTGGTGTCTTCTAATGATATTATGTACCGTACATGATGGAAAGTAAAAGTTCTTTGCTATTTTACGTTGAGAAATGTTTTTCTTGAATTGTTGCACTATTTGATCGTGCAGTCTTTCACAGAGTGGTGAACCCCTCCTCATCTTTACTTCTGAAAGACTCCGCCTCTCTGAGATGATCTACCCAATCATGTTACTGACCTGTTGCCAATTAACCACCTGGTGTTTTTTCAGCATTACACAACTTTACCAGCTTTTTGTTGCCCCATCCCAACTTTTTTGGAGCGTGTTGTTGGCATCAAATTCAAAATGGGCAGATATGTTGTCTTTGTACTATTTTCAATTAAATATAGGGTTTAAATGATTTGCACATCATTGCATTTTGTTTTTATTTACATTTTGCACAGCGTTTCAACTTTTTTGGAAATGGGGTTGTATATGGCCAAAAGTATGTGAACACCTGACCATCACACCTGTATGAGCTTGTTGAACATCTTATTCCAAACCATGGGCATTAATATGGAGTTGCCCCCCTTTGCAGCTATAACAACCTCCACTCTTCTGTGAAGCTTTCCACAAGATTTTGGAGTCTGTCTGTGGGAATTTGTGACCACTCAGTCTAAAGAGTATTTGTGAGGTCAGACACTGATGTTGGATGAGAGGGTCTGGTTCACACTCAATGTTCCAGTTCATCCCAAAGATATTCAGTGGGGTTGAGGTCAGGGCTCTGTGAGGGCCACTGGAGTTCCTCCACACCAAACTGGTCACTCCATGTCTTTATGGAGCTGCTTTGTGCTCAGGGGCTCAGTCATGCTGGAACAGGAAAGGCTCTTCCCCAAACTGCTGACACAAAGCTGGAAGCAGATAACTGTGTAAAATGTCTTTGTGCTGCAGCATCAACATCACCCTTCACTGGAACTGAGAGCCCAAACCCTGAAAAACAGCCCCGCCCATCATCCGTCCTCCACCAAACTCTACTGTTGGCTCTGCATTCCGGTAGGTAACGTTCTCCTGACATCCACCAAACCCAGATTCATCATCAGACTGACAGATAGAGAAGCTGATCCATCACTCCAGAGAACACGGTTCCACTGATCCAGAGTCCAGTAGCGGTGCTTTACACCACTCCAGCCGACACTTGGCATTGAGCATAGTGAGCTTTTGCTTGTGTGTAGCTGGTCAGCCATGGAGACCCATTTGATGAGGCTCCTGACACAGTTCTTGTGTTGATGTTGTTTTTAGAGGTGAGTGATGCAACAGGTTATGTCCACTAAGAGTACTAAATATGTATAACGATGTTCTGTAACTCATCCTCAAGCTCTAATTATTTACAGTGGATGTTTTAGATGTTTTGTCTTATGTTGTGATTAGCGTGCTGTTTTTTATATAGACTGAAGTATGTTCTATATAACAAACCTTAACCTCTTTTACTTTTCTAATAATAATGTATTCAATTTATTACAATTGTCTTGAGTTTTGATGATGCACTGTGTGAAATGTTTAAACCTCTCCACAGCAATTACCAACAACATCTACAATATCAGGCCACAGGTGAGCCTGGGCCTACCCAGATTCACAGACCTACACAATCAAATGGTGACTGAATATTTATTGAGCTGCATTTTTTAAGACAATGTCATTTGATTTGCTTTCTGTGAGTGCTGTCATTGTATGTCCAATCAAAATCATCACATTCCTCGCCAAGCTCTACCTTATTTTATTTATTCCTTTATTTATACCTTTATTTTATTGAGTCGTTAACAGCCATGTAATTCAGACGGTCCTGGGACATTCAGTGGGAAAATCTATGTAGGACCTAATGTATCCGATTCTGAGCCATGTTATGTACCACAGGAGGCCATATTGGTCTTTTCAAATAAAGCTTCTCAATTTGGTCATGTCCAGTTCTGCTCACTAGCTAGGTGTCCCCAGGTCACACAATACTTCCAGCACTAGGAGGGTGAAGGCCAGCACGTTTCCTCTGAGTCCTGTGAAGCACCACACTAACTGCCAGTCTGTTACATCAGCTAACATATGCCTGTGCTATCTAGCAACACACTGAGTAATGGGGGACAGGGAGGGCCGTCCTACCCCCCCAGAGAGACTGCTTCACCACTTGGGTCATTTTTGAAAATTCCTTTTTATTTTTAAATGTAGGAACCATAAACCTCTGAAGTCGGCGTCATGCCCATAAACTGACTCCAGAATGACGCGTGACTTCAGAGGTCTGTGGTTCCTACATTTTAAACGCATACAAGGTTACATTATAAATATATTTGCCATATTTAATGATGTTATAGTGTTGATCATAGAAACACATTAATTGATACATTTCTTTAAGTATTACATTAATTTATTTCAAAAATTTCTCAAGAGCACTGTACATTTGGAGAAAAAGAAAGAGAGGCAAGCAGAGATAAGAGAAAGGCAGACAGGTGATCCATCTTGTTTTCTTCTTGGTACACATTGATTAAGATGAAATGACAGGCGGCACCTGGAACATAAAGAACAGAAAGACGTCCTGTCAAACTGTTGTTCAAAGTCGATCAGGTGTCTACTGGTATAACTAAACAACCCGGTTTCAGTACCATAGATATTAAAATATTTCAGCTGAATGAAATTTTTGTACCTCAGTCGCAGCAGAAGAACTTGACGTCGTTGAGAGTGGTGTCGTCTCCTGACCCTTGTGATCCCTCTACTTTTGTCTGGATGCCGCAGAACCCCTTTCCTCTGCAGTACTTACTCCAGCCACCCCATTCACCCCAGGACGTGCCCTCACCGACAAGATTTCTGACATCTCCACTGCACTCGAACCTGGCAATGATTCAGATCAGATTAGATTGAGTTTAGCAGACAGTGACGGTCATGTGAGAAATGTCACTGAGAAAGTCATACAAGAGTACTGTACAGGTACAGCAATGGCCTTAAACAAAAAAAAGTTTGTCAAATAAATCTGGTTTTTCACTTTGCCCGAATGTAGTCGATCAGACAAGACATGCTTCTGGTCCAAACTTTACTTATTCAGTTTAGAACTGGTGTGACACGGCTAACATTGCTAACAAACACTTGAACTTAATAGACACCCAAATAGCCCAAACCATTTCTGTGAAATACCACTCCAAAATTACAATAATATGCAATTACTATAATATACTATAATATGCAAGTATGCATGAAAAATAGGAGTAAGGTAAAGTTTAATTTGTAAGCCTTTTCTTTTTAAGAGAGGTTTTACAATTGCAGTTTTTAATGTGAGATGAGATGTTTACTGTCTTAAAAAGTTGGTTGGTAACGTATCAAGAATACAAGTGGATGATTTGAGATGGCTCACTGTATCGATTCAAATTTGATTATTGATAGCACTAAATTGGGATACTAAGGACTGACCATCACGCTGGACACCCTTCATTCTTCATTCAGTCAACATGAGAAACACGTGAAATGGCGTGCAGAGAGTTTACAGCTGCTGAAGTTACTGCAGCAGTTTTGGAAAGCAGTGATGAAGATAACGGAGCATTTTGATATGAAACATATGAGGATCATATTATATGAAGAGCCTTTAAAGGAGAGTTTAAGAAGAGATGCACAAATCAGGAAAATGCCCTTAGATTAAGGTATGGTCAGATTAAGATTATGGAACGGTCATCAATGCAAAATCATGGTCATTACATTATGTTGTTCGCGGCCGTATCATCGCCATCTCCTTGGTGACCTTCAACACGGAGCCGAAAACTCATCAGCATCCCAGACGGACACCATTTCCGAGCTGTCCACGTACCCCAGCTGGAAAAAGAGCATAAACACAGAGGGCATTGTTATTTCCACAAAACCTCGACAGAGGAACCAAATCTCAAGGCCTATTCACACCAATGTAAAGCCACAAAGAAATCAGGGAAAACATCCAATAGTCCTAAAGAGTAGAATGAGTTTTTTCTACCTTTTAAGGAAAGAAATCAGCCCAAATAGTCAAAAACAAAACTCAAATTTGTTACTCTTGTTTGGTTAACGGGGGGTATATGTGTATTTGTATTCTGTATATTGTGTAACTATACAGAAATGCCACTGTAATGTAGATAATACTATGCAAATATACATGAAAATAAAAGTAAGACCAAATTTAATTTGTAAGCCACTCACCTTCCTACTCCAGACGTTACTGAGACGACGTCTGAAAACAATAACTTGCCTGCGCGTGTGTTGACACAGTGCAGACTAATTCCATTGAGTGCGGTGTCGTCCCCGTCTACTGGGTATTCAACCTAAAAACACATCACTCTTTAATCACAAATTAGATACATTCCCGCTTAAATAAAAAATTCTTGCGAGAAATCACTTGTGAGCTTATTTTTTATTTAACTCCTGTGTCTGTGCAGTCACTGCCAATTTATAAAAGCAATAAGCCACTTGAGGCTGTGCGTTACTGTGATTTTATCACGGGGAAGGGTGTTCTTAGGCACAACGAGATGTGTTGCGTGTTGGGGCCGTTGCTGTTGTTGAAGCGTTATAAGTAAAAGAACATTTTGTCCATGTGCTCCATTTTCTGTGTCTTCCTCTGTGCCGATGCTACAGAACTATGACCACACTGAGAGTTTGCACAGTGCACTTTGGCAGCGCTGCTCTTTGAGCTGTATTATATGAAGTAGACTACATGATAATAAGACGAGGTAACTATCAAACTGTTGTACAGTAATGTCTACTGTTTATCATGTAAGCTTAAATGCATTTCACAGCTGACAGCATGCATGTGTTTAGTTGGTTGGTATAGTGTAGTGGGTAACACCTCTCTTTGTACGCTGTAGACTGGGGTTCAATCCCCCACCTGAGCAAGCACCCTGCACTATACCAATAAGAGTCCTTGGGCAAGACTCCTAACTCCACCTTCGCCTACCTGTGTAAAAGGTAAAATTGTAAGTCTCTCTGGATAAAGGCCATAAATGTAATGATGCAGGCTAGATTTTATCAACTGCCAAGGCAGTGCTGAGTAAGCTCCTGATAAGGCTACAGCACATTAGCTTTTTACCTAGCCAAATATTACTCCCTGAGTATGTTACCTCACCAGGTGTGGTGCCACGTCTCTAAAAGTGGTGGGGCAAAACTTATTATTTAAAAAATAAATAAATAAATAAATAAAAACATGGCTAAGTAACAAAATGCAACTAGGCCACTACCTTTCATGTCCTTTTATGTTATGGAACAGTCTCTCTATATATAAACTCAAAGGCTTTGATTGCTTCAAAGTTTGACTCTGTTCATGCCTACATATCAGCAACCTTTGCAGTTTAGGAAGTGACTCCAAAAAGTCATGGGTCATCACCCCAATTTTAGAATAGCAGTGGGTCAATTGCCCGCTCGCCCGCCATGCTTACAGCAGGCCCTGTACCTCACACCTTTTTTCCCTATCAGTTGGCTACCTAAAAAAAAATCATTGAGTCTAACCTGGCCACCCCATTGAAAAGGTTCTGGCTACTCCCAGAATGAGTGTCTGCTTTTTAAAACCAAGAAGAATACAGTACATTTACCTTCAGACTGAAACCTGCAGCGTAGTAGCCGTTGGGACACATTTCTCGATCACCCCATTCGCCCCAGGGTCCACCATTACTAACAGTATGTACTGACTTGTAGAATCTGTATCCTTTGACGGAGGATCCAGTGGAGGCTAGAAACAGAGTCACTGAAATGCACATTAGCTGATGCATTGCTGCTGCCTCTGTGGACTGTCAAAGAGAAATGTTTCTTTCCTTCCCTCTTTTCTCCTTGTACCTGGTCACCGTGGGTCTAGAAGGGCTGTATGAAAAGCTGTCCAGACCAAAAGCTGCTTTATATTTAATCAGGACTCTGATGACTGAACATAACACACGTTTCAGCTGTCCAGTCACCCTTTTTGGCAGCACTGGACTATTGATTTCCCAGCAGAGCTGCTGTTTTGAGACCTTGACTGTGGAACTGAGATAAGGCAGATTTTACTTCAGATAAATATCAGTGCTGCACTATTAAAAGAAAAATGAATCTATAAATATACAGCAACTTACAGCTGCCTTGTGCACAGGGGTACAATCATGCTTGACAAGGGTCTTAAAAAAGCTGTTCCTCAAACTGCTGACACAAAGTTGGAAGCATATAATTGTCTTAAATGTCTTTGTATTGTGCATCATTAACATCACCCTTCACTGGAATTAAGAGCCCAAACCCTGAAAAACAGCCCAGCTCATCATCCCTCCTCCACCAAACTCTACTGTTGGCACTGTGCATTCCGGTAGGTAATGTTCTCCTGACATCCACCAAACCCAGATTCATCATCAGACTGACGGATAGAGAAGCTGATTCATCACTCCAGAGAAAATGGTTCCACTGATCCAGAGTCCAGTGGCGGCACTTTACACCACTCCAGCCGACGCTTGGCATTGAGCATAGTGATCTTAGGCTTGTGTGCAGCTGCTCAGCCATGGAGAGCCATTTAATGAAGCTCCTGGCACACAGTTCTTACAAGCTCCAGAAGTCAATGTTTTATGCTTGAGCTGTATAGCATTAAACTTACTGTGGGAAAATGAATGTACACCATTGTTAGCTCAGCGCTATGACTAGCAAATCCCAGAGAGACTGAATCCCATAGCTAGCTGAAATGAGCTTTATTGTAGCAGATCTAGGGAAAAAGGAATGGTTCTACATTAAATTCTGCTGTATAATGACATCTGACAAAAAGTAGAAAGTTCATGAGCTCACTTGAGTATCCCACTTTATGCTGGCACAGGCGCTTGGTAAGCTAGCATGCTATTAGATAGCCAATTAGCATTAGCCAGCCAGGCTAATGTTAACCAACTTTAAATTTTCACACTTTCACAGGCAGCTCAACAGCTCTTTAACATGTTACGATCCTCTGGGTGTTTTTGTTTTTTGCTCTTTTTCTTTTGGTAATCACTTTTCCCCTAGGATTGGTGTCTGGAGGGTCTGACTGGATACAGCAGAGGGCACCGCAATGGCCCTTAAGTGTTCCCCTAGACATAGGAGGTCGTAACAAACATTTCAAATCATCAAAAGCTGAAACAAAAATTAAATTGCTATGTACACGGTAAGTTATTTTGGCGTCTAGTTTTACAGTAAAGCTGATGATACTGTATGTTAAGACATAATACATGACACAAAAAGTGTTTGATAACCTGCTTGTGTTGTAAATGTTTTCCCAGAATTCAACATGAGATGCTGCTTAAAACTGTAAAACACCTTAAAGTATTAAATGAGCTTAAACACACTACAGTATTGTAGAAATTACAGGAGTTCTTAAGTGTGTCATAAAATGTGAAAAAGATTGTCCTGTTTTACAGAATGTGCTGTAATTACAATGCATCATGCTGTAATATCACAATATGATACCATAGTAAAGATAAGCAAATTACTTACACTTCAAAAAATTGCATACTTTGATATTAACAACATTTGGAGGTTTGTGGATAATCAGTCACTGCTTGACATAGGATGTTTGTACAGTTTGCGTAATGAAAATTGGGTGCCAGGAACAATTCTGATGAGGAGATTTAGAGTTAATCATTAATTCTTTTCAATGCAGAAAGAAACAAACAGGAACAAACAGTTTATCCAACTAGAACATTTACCGTACAGTATGTTGCCTGTGCTCCTGAAATCACGTCCCCCGCCAGCAGTTCCCCCTTTAACTAATACATGTTACTGATTGGTGCCCCCACTGCCCAACATACATACATACATACATACATACATACATACATACATACATACATACATCATCTAAACCGCTTATCCTTCTGGGTCGCGGTGGGGTGCTGGAGCCTATCCCAGCTGTCATTGGGCGAAAGGCAGGATACACCCTGGACAGGTCGCCAGTCCATCGCAGGGCCACTGCCCAACAGTGCGCACTATTTCAATTCACAATGCAAGTGCAAGTCACCATCAAATGAAAACAGAATAATGTGAACATTAATACCTTTATTGTCATTGTACAAGTACAAAGAGCCTTAGTGTGCACTTCTCTACAAGCTATCTAAATCAATAGAAGAAATAACATTGGATAGATGTTCAGATTATTAACAAGCTATCTGTTAAAACTCACTGATTCTCAACAGTGTTAGGGTTAGGATTACAACCAGTATTATGTTTTGGTTTTGGGTTGAGGTTAACGTTGGGTTTAGGATAAAGGTTTTTTAACCTTAGAATGTATGACCCAAATGCATACAGAAGGTAGAAATGTCACATATTGGGACTCCTGAGTGCCACAAATAGTAATTTGTGGTCTCAATTAAGTCATTCCTTGCATCAATATGTTAATTTGTGGCCTCAATATAGTTACAGCAACCTTTTGTATGACTGTTTGGTTTCAAGTAACATTAACATAGCACAATCAACAATGTCATGTTATGTAATGATTGAGCATCACTTAGAAAAGTTGCACATAGAACCATCACAAATTCAGCAAGTAAAAATGAAAAAATTAACTCTATCATCTGAAGTGGTTTATCTATAAGCTTTTTTATATTCAGATAGCATTCTGACAAGGGCTGTGTATGCAAATATTAACTTAGCAAGGGTGAGTTTGATAACTTATGAGTGTTCTCCTACCTCATCTAGGCAGGCAGGGAGAGTTGGTTTTCCATAGAGCTGGGAAAAGAGCCCGAAAAATAGTGTGGTCCACCATGAATTGCACACCCAGAAACCATCAACCTGTGAGGTATCTGGATGAATCAGAGGTGAGCAGAGTGGGCTGTTGGTTAAAACATTTAATAAAGGGTTAAACCAGAGACGGAATCCGGAAACGGGCTAAGGTCAAACGAACGGGTATGTACAGACGAGACATAGACAAGGTCAAAAAGGCAGGCAAAAAGGTCTGAATACGATTAAGGCAAAACAGTGTCCACAGGGTCAGGCAGAAGTCGTAAACGAGAAAATAAAAGCAAAGTCACAAACCAGGAATACCAGTGAAAAACAGACAGCTTGGTAATGCACAGCAGGCTGAAACAATACTTTGCAAAGAACCTGGTATATAAGCCCAGGCTTTATACTAACCCTAAGGAAACACATGACAAGAGATACAAGTCACAACAATCAGTAATCAGGAGAGACTGACCGTGGATAGGTAGGTTGTACAGAGTCTGGAGTCTTGTGACCTCCCAGAGGATTCTCAACGGACTTAGGAGCAGAGGTTTCAGTGGAGCCGGGGAGAGGCATGACACAACCCAAGACTTCACCCAACTCAAATTTCACAGCTGAGACAGGAGTTCTTTGTATGTTTTTTTTCACTGAATGGGACTCTTTCCATCAATTACACCATGCATTTTCTCCTCTTGGGTTCCCAGTAATGGAGGGCCATGGCATCATCGGGGTTCAAACTTACAACCTTCTGGTGGGAGTGAATGCAGAGCCAGCTGGACTACTTACAGGGTCTGTAAATGTTTAATACCTTGTCAAAAATATTTTTGTTGTTTTAACTTCAAAAACCAATGAGGTAACATATCATGCAATGGTCAACATCAGCAGGTTGTGAGTTTGAACCCTGGAGATGCTGCATCCTGTCTAGATCTGGAAGTCCAAGAAGAGAACATGGGATCATGTCCCAACTAGTGGGGAAACTGAGAAAAAAACTAAATATATATTACTTAACTGAGAAACCAGAAAAAGTTAGGACAATGTGCAAAAAGAAAAAAGCAAAGTTTAATGATTTAAATATCACATGTAAGTAACTATTTGATGTATCAAAGGCAATTGAGACAAGCTGGCAGAGACAAATAATTTTGAGTCCAGTCTCAAGTGGTTCACTCATGGTCTTGCAGGCCACAATTGCAAGGGCTGCGAGGGTGTATGATGGCCTATTTCTCATTTTAGCATGCAAAAGGCTGCTCAGAAGTGCCCTCTATCCACCTGTAACAATGGCAGATGGAACCAGATGCTTGCAGACAAGGTTTGAGTTAAGATCGTTAATAACAAAGGGATGATACAAATTCACAGTCGAAAAAAAGGAGCAAGAAGGGAAAAACCAGAGATCCACAACAAGACAAAAGGGCAAGGCAAAAATCAAGGTCCGAATGGAAAAATAGGTCATGCAGGTCAACGAGCATGCCCACAACGACCACCACCTACCCGACCGGAGGCATCAGAGGGCAAGATCCGAAGCCATCCCCGTGCTGGACAGGAACCGGACCGCTGGAACGAAATGGACAGGAACTGGAGATAGTCTTCCTGGGGCATCCTCAAGGATGGGGAGCTGGCTTTTCAGGATGTCTGGCATGGAAATCAGCCACCAGCCCAGGGTCCAGGACATCTTTAACTGGTACCCAGCTCCTCTGAAACCATGTCTTTATGAAGTTTGCTTTGTCCACAGTCATGCTGGAACAGGTAAGGGTTTTACCCATACCCTGAAAAACAGCCCCAGCTGATTATCCCTCCTCCACCAAACTCTGCCATACTGTTGGCACTATGCATTCTGGTAGGTATCGTCCTCCTGGCATCCTCCAAACCCAGATTCATACATCTGACTGCTAGATAGTGAAACATGATTCATCACTCCAGAGAACACATTTCCACTGCTCCAGACTCCAGTGGAGGCGCTTTACACCACTCCAGCCAACGCTGCGTTGCGCTGCGCTGCATTGCGCATAGTGAGCTTAGGCTTGTGTGTAGCTCGTCAGCCATGGAAACCCATTTTATGAAGCTCCTGACAGACAGTTCTTGTGTTGATGTTACTTTTAGAGGCAGTTTGACACTCCATAGTGAGTGATGCAACAGAAGATAGGCCATTTTTTGGTGATGTCCACTAAAAGTACTAAATATGTATAATAATTGAACTTATTACAATTGTCTTGTGTTTTGATGATGCACTACGTGAAATATTTAAACTCAAATTTTGAATCAAACCACTTTCGTTAGCTCTGCTATTGTCTGTTAGCATCAGGATCAGTCATGTCTCTATTCAGACTTGTGGTTTCTGGCAAAATGCTCAGCTTTCTAATGTACCCATCCTCAATCCTCAAGAACACTGTAAGAAATGAGCTACTCAGTGCTGCTCACTAAATTGAATCATTTATTGGTGCCTGTTGACATGTTAGTTGTATCTCCAAACTAATCACAGCAATTACCAACAACGTCTAGAATATGAGGCATCAAGGGCGTAGCCACAGTTGGGCCTGGGCTTACCCAGATTGATCACAGGCCTACACAATCAAATGGTGACTGAGTATTTATTAAGCTGCATTTTTTTTTTAAGACAATGACATTTGCTTTCTGTGAGTGCTATCATTGTATTATGTCCAATCAAAATCATCACATTCCTCACCAAGCTCTGCCTTATTTTATCGAGTTGTTAACAGCCATGTAATTCAGAGGGTCCTTGGACATTTTCTTCCTAATTTGTCATGTCCAGTTCTACTCACTAGCTAGGTGTCCCCAGGTCACACAATACTACCAGCACTAGGAGGATGAAGGCCAGTCCTGTGAAGCACCACTGCGTCTTTTCAAACTGCCACTAACGCAGCAATATTGGACAGCTGAACTTGCTTGGACGAGGACACCAACTGCCAGTTCTGTTACGCCAGCTAACATATGCCTGCACTAGCTAGCAACACAATGGGGGAGAGGAAGGGCCATCCTACTCACCCAGACAGTATGTAGAAACCATAGATCATATGAACCATATGACACATGACTTGAGGTCTGTGGTTCCGACATTTTAAATGTATGAAAGGTTAAATTTAAATATATTTGTCATATTTAATGATGTCTCATGTTGATCATAGAAACACATCAATTGATACAATTTCAATTATTTGTCTCATGTTTATTTATTTAGAGAATTTCTCGAGAGCACTTAACATTTGGAGAAAAAGAAAGACACACACAGACAGAGATAAGAGAAAGGCCGACAGATGATCCATCTTGTTTTCTTCTTGGTACACATCATTTTAGATGAAATGACAGGCGGCACCTGGAACATATAGAACAGAAAGACGTCCTGTCAAACTGTTGTTCAAAGTCAATCAGGTGTCTACTGGTATAACTAAACAACACGCATTCAGTACCATAGATATTAAAATATTTAAGTGGAATGAAATTCTATGTACCTCAATCGCAGCAGAAGAACTTAACGTCGTTGAGAGTGGTGTCGTCTCCTGACCCTTGTGGTGCCTCTACTTTTGTCTGGATGCCACAGATCCCCATTCCTCTGCAGGTGTCACTCCAGCCACCCCATTCACCCCAGGACATGCCCATACCAACAAGAGCCCTGTCGCTTCCAGTGCACTGGAACCTGGCAATGATTTAGAACAGATTACATCTGTTGAGTTTAGCAAATAGTGACGGTCATGTGTGAAATGTCACTGAGAAAGCCATACAAGGGTACTGTACAGGTACAGCAATGGCCTTAAACAAACAGTTTGTCGAAAAATCTCGTTTTTTAATTTGCCCAGATGTGGTCCATCAGACAAGATATGTTTTTGGTGTCCAAACTTTACTTATTCAGTTTAGAACTAGCATGGCACGGCTAACATTGCTAACAAACACTTGAACTTAATAGACATCCAAATAGCCCAATCCACTTCTGTAAATAATACCACCAAATACATCACTAAAACTCAACCTCAATGTGCTCAAACCAGGACATGCTGAATTGTCAGTGTGGTTTAAAGCACATTTTGACTTACTGTAAATTATAAAAATTCACAAAAAACTCACCATTACCTTTTACCTCATTTTTATAGCTCATACAAAGTGTTAGTGTGCTCGAAACCATGTCAAGAAGTCTTGTTTTGAGTGGGATGCAAGAAGTTTTCGGTGATGTATTTTTATAGAAATGATTTGGGTTATTTGGGTGACTATTAAGTTCAAGTGTTTATCAGCAATGTTAGCCTCACCACTCCAGTTCTAAACTAAAGAAATAAAGTTTGGATTCTGAACATGTCTCAGGCGGTCATTTTCCCAAAATTTAGACTTTAACTTAACTTTTTTTTGAAATAGAAATGAATGATTAAAAGAATAGGCAAGACAGAGTGTGTGGAATCAATGGCCAGAAAAAAAGTTATAGATGATATACCATTGAAGCTACCACTCCAGTAACTTGGGGAGTCCCACCCCACCCCATCCCAAATTTATACCTTTTTTTCTGCGAGTATAGTCAGTTAAATGTAGAGTTAACCCTCTGGGGTCCACAGATCAGCCCATGCACCCAATTTGATGTTTTTATATCTGTTTCTGTATCTTTGTGATAATCCATCTTAGAAATACATCCAGACATTTCCTGAATCGGTAGAGTCGCCCTTTCTGTTCCATCTTATCACGAGATCGTACGTGGCTCACATTCGGAGTTAGGAGGCTATAAAGAGGGGCTGAGATACACGTCATCTGCCTCTAACTGCTTTGACACGACTGCTAAAACTGAGATCCGAGTCCATTAGTACGCCAAGGTTACATACTAGTTCTCTAGATTTTAGGGCTCTCAAATCCAGATAGGCAGCTAGTCTGTGCCTCTCGTTACTGTTCCTGAAAAAAATAATCTCTTTTTAAAAAAAGAGTTTTGTCCAATCCAGTTTGTGATGTGTTCAAGGCACTTACAAAGTAATTCAAGGGGACCATAGTTGTTTGGGGAGAGGGCCAAGTAGATCTGAGTACCATCTGCAAACTGTGGTAACATATTCCATAGTTTAGTAGGATTTGGCCAAAAGGCAGCATGCATAAATTAAATAAGAGTGGCCCAAGAATCGAACCCTGGGGGACACCACAGGTCACTCCCACCCTCTCAGAAACATTATTTTCAATTTCCACAAAGTACTCCCTTCCTTGCCGGCATAATTTGAACAATTTTGGAACCAAACCAGTTTCCAAATCTATCTATTAGAATTTTATGGTCAATGCTATCAAGACGGTGCTGAGATTGAGCAGTAGAAGAACAGATATTTTTCCAGAGTATATATTTAAACAAATGTCCTTAATTAGAGCAATCACAGTACTATGATTAGGCTGTAATCCTGACTGAAATTTGTTTAGACAGCTATTTAAGGACAGAAAGGCAGTAAGTTGTTTGAAGATGATTTTTTTTTCATTATTTTTCTAATAATAGATAGATAGATAGATAGATCTTTATTGATCCTGACGGGAAAAGGTACAAAGGTAGATTTGAAATTGGCCCGTAATTACTTAATGCAGTTGCTTATAGGTTTTTTGTTTTTAAGAGAGGCTTTCCTAACTGCATTTTTTAATGTGTTAGAAAAATCAAAACTTGCGTTTACTGTCTGAAGTATGTCCGCTGCAATTGAGTGAAACACATTCCTTAAAAAGTTGGTTGGTAACATGTCAAGACTACAAGTGGATGATTTGAGATGACTCACTGTATTGAATAAAATTTGATTATTGATAGCACTAAACTGGGGCACTAGGGACTTGTCCGTCACGTCAGAAACAGTTCATTTTCCATTTAGTCCACATCGTAGACACGTGAAATGGTGTGCAGAGAGTTTACAGCTGCTGATTAAGCTTAAAGTTAAGGAATGATCATGAATGTAAAATCATGGTCATTACATTATGTTGTTCACAGCTGTATTGTTGTCTTTTCCTTGGGGACTAATGGCGTGCAAAAGGTGTATAGCTGCTGAAGTTGCTACAACGGTTTTGGAAAGTAGCAAGGAAGATAACGGAGCATTTAGATTTGAAACATATGGGTATCATATAACATGCAAATGCCTTTAAAGACAAATTTAAGAAGATATGCACAAATTTGCAAAATGCTCTTATATTAAGAAATGATCAGATCAAGATTAAGAAGTGGTCATGAATGCAAAATCATGGTCATTACATTATGTTGTTTGCAGCTGTATCATCGCCATTTCCTTGAGGACGTTCAACAAGGAGCTGAAAACTCATCAGCATCCCACACGGACACCATATCGGATCTGTCCACGTACCCCAGCTGGAAAAAGAGCGTAAAAACAGATGGCATTGATATTTTCACCGAGGAGCCATATCACAAGGCTTATACACACCAATGTAAAGCCACAAGAAAAGCAGGGAAACCTCCAATGGTCATAAAGAGTAGAAATCTGCCCAAATAATCTCAAACTAAACTCAAATTTGATAATCTTGTTTGTTTAATGGTGGGTATGTGTGTATATGTATTGGAGTTGCAGGCTTGTATATTAAACTGTACATGAAATACACTGTAATGTGGACTCTAATATGCAAGTATACATGAAAATAAAAGTAAGGCAAATTTTAATTTATAACTCACCTTCCTACTCCAGACATTGCTGTGGAGATGTCTGAAAACTCTGTCTTGCCTGTATGTGTATTGACACAGTGTAGACGAATTCCATTTAAGGCAGTGTCATCCCCGTCTATTGGGTATTCAACCTAAAAACACATCACTCTTTACTGCATTAATATCACTCTTTACTGTATACTGTATTTATTTTGTCAAATACTGCATCTAGACCTAACTCAGAACAGAGCCGGATCGACCTAATAAGTAGTGGCGAACTTTGTCTATTAGTGCTAGGCCTTCAGCTCAGGCCATGAATGTAAAAACTTGGTTAAAACATTAGGAAAAAAAAACATCTCAGTGATAACTTCTGTTGTTAAGGTGGAACAGGAATTTTGAACAAGGCAGTTCTAGATGAAACAGATATTTGGATCTTCTAAAAGACATTCCCTATTTTACTTGAAGCTTGTGGCAAATATTTTACTTTGTAGTAGTTTCCCAGTGGCTCAGTAGTGAGCTCTGGTGTAGTAGTAGTAGTAGTAATAATAATAATGATAATAATAATAATAATACTAATAATTTCAACTTATATAGCACCTTCCTCAGACCCAAGGTCACTTTACATTTAGAATAACCCACCGATTAGGCTGCTGCTCGTAATTACTTTCATAATAACACAACAAACTGTCACAGTTTCCCCTTTGTCCCTCTGAGTAGCTTTAGTCCCAGGTGTTTCTTGTTTCCCCGCAGTGTATTTATACCCCTGTGTTTGTTCAGTCTCTTTGTCTTGCATTTTGGATGTTGCTTGTTTTCTTTAATCTTGTTGTTAGGTTTTGTTTCATCATGGACTTTTCTATGACTTTTCATGGTCTATTCTACAAACATCTGCTACTCAGTTTCTGGACTGCTAAATCTGATTTGACATCAATACAGGCCATCCTGCTGCCTAGAACGTCATTACAGGCACTCCTGCTGCTAAGGATGTTGCAGCAGGCCCGTTTGTCTCCGTGGACGTCGCCGCACGCCCACCTGTCTCAGTGGACATCGCAGCAAGCCCGGCCGTTTCAGTGCACATCACAGCTGGTTAATCTCTCTCCTTCTCTGCTCTTGCCAGTGCATCTTCTGACTGGTTGGCTTCCGTGTTCCCTGACCTGCCAGTTTTCAAGTTTCCTGATCAACCAGTCTCCGAGTTTTCTGACCTTCCTGTGGTCTTAGGGACTCTAGAATTTCCTATGTTATAAGTATTTTCTGATTTGTATGTAGTATGTATGTTTCCAGGTACATGTTTGTTTTCTCTGTGTGGTTTCTTGTCAGTCCCTTTTTAGTTTCACGTCCGGTTTGTAGTCTCTCCTCTAAGTCAGTTACCTTTTGGTTTCTTTCCGTGCCTCGAATGCTGCACATCAGAGGCAACCTTCTGCTACATCTTTTCTGGTTTTGTTTGTCTTCCCTGTTTTAGCCGTGTGCTTTTTGTTTACATTTTTTCATGTGTTTTTGCTGTGTTTTTTGGTTTGGTCTCCTCTCTGGTCCTGTCCCCTTGTAATTGTGCTCATCTGTCTGTAGCTCCGCCCTCTCATTCTTTCCAGGTGTTTGTTGTTTTCTCTCGGTGTATTTATAGCCCCGTGTTTGGTTTAGTAACAAAATGAAACTAGGGCACTGCCTGGAGAGGTCTCTATATATTAACAAAACTCACAAAGGCTTTGATTGCTTCTGCAGAGTTTGACTGTTTGTGCCTACACATCAGCGACCTCAGAAGTTGAGGAATAGTGGAGGGTTTTTTTGATGTAAGCATTCTGAACTCAGTCAAAAAGTGGTGGGTCATCACCCCAATATTTTGAAAAGTAGTTGGTCAAATGCCCACTCACCCCCTGTGGTTACAGCAGGCCCTGTACCTCACACCTTTTTTCCCTCAGTTGGCCACCTCAATAAAATTGTTGGGTCTGGCCTGGCCATCCTATTGAAAAGGTTCTTGCTACTCCCCTAGGGGACAGAATCAGTGTCTGCTTTTTAAAATCAAGAAGAAAACCACATACTTACCCTCAGACTGAAACCTGCAGCATAGTAGCCTGCTGGACACATTTCAAGCATGCCCCATTGACCCCACTGTGCGCCATTATTAACACCAAGTACCGAAATATAGGGTCTGTTTCCTCTGACGGAGGATCCGAAGGAGGCTAGAAACACAGTCACTGTAATGTAAACTAGCTGATGCATTGGTGCTGCCTTGATGGACTGTCAAAGAGAAATCTTTCTTTCCTTCCTTCTTTGCTCCTTGTACCTCAAGTCACTATGAGTTTAGAAGAGCTGTATGAAAAGCTGTCCAGACCCAAAGCTGCTTTATATTCTGTCTGGACTCTGAGAATTAGAATATGCATTTCTGCTGTTTCATTACTGGACAGTTGATTTCCCAATTGAATATTTTGAAACCTTGACTGAGATCAGCAGTGACACTGAGATCTTGAAACACAATTTACTAATCAGATAACTTTATTTTTGTGCTGTAAAAAATGACACTGTAGTTTCCAGAAAGTAACTAATTAATTTACAGCACTCATGTTGTGTTATGACATGTTATAAAGTATTTTATAAGTCTACATATTGACAGCAGTATATTACTGTATCCCCTTTTCTGAATATTGTATAAGCCCAGGCTTTAGATTAGATCACTGTGAGTTATTACTTCTTTCACCAGAACTACTGAGCATTATTTATTGTATATCTTTTGCTTGTGTACTGAACCTGTTTTCCTGTGTATTTCCTGTGCCTTTTGCCTTCTCCTTTTTGAATTTGTCTGCTTGGATTTATCCAAAATCCAAAATATTCCATGACTAAGTCACACAAGAGATCATGTACCCTGCCCAGGAGAGGGTTACCAGGACCCACCCCTGGAGCCAGACTTGGGGGTAGTGTTCCTCAGCGAGAGACTGGTGGCCTTGCAGCCCACATGACCTGGCCGGGCTCAGCCCAAAAAGGCATCATTAGGGGATCATGTGGGCCCACCACCCGTAGGTCCAGCATGGAGACCGGAGTGCAGTGCCATATAGGCAGTGGGAGATGGTAGGGAGGTCCTTGATGGTATGGACCCCTACGGTGGAAACTGGCTCTTGGTACACACAATCTAACCTCACTGCAGAGGGAAGGAGCCAGAGCTTGTGTGAGAAGTTGAGAGGTACCAACTAGATATAGTCCTTAAAAGAGTTGGTCCCTCTTCTCCTCAGGAGTTGCATAGGGTGAGAGGCACCGGGCAGGTGTGGTGGTACTCAGGAGTCCCAGACAAGTTTAGGTTTGTTGCAGTGGATGAGAGGGTTGCCTCAATGTGAGTTAAAACCGCAAAAAGGAAGACTCTGACTGTTGTGAGTGCTTATGCACCAAACAACAGTTCAGAGTATTCAGCCTTTTAGGAGCGACTGGGCAGGGTTCTGGAAAAGACCCCACTTACAGACTCCATAGTCTTACTGGGAGACTTCAATGCTCATGTTGACAATGACTGGGAGATCTGGAGGGGGTGATTGGGAAGAATGGCCAGCCCAATCTAAACTCAAATGGTGAGTAGTTATTGGACTTCTGTGCTAGGCGTGGATTGTCCGTAATAAAGACCAAGTTCGGACACAAAGATGTTCATGGAGGCAGCTGTGAGTTGGAGGTTAGGGAACCAGCCTTGCAACCGGAAGGTTGCCAGTTCGATCCCCAGAGCCGACAGGACATGCCTGAAGTGCTCTTGAGCAAGGCACCTAACCCCCAACTGCTTCGGGCTCTGTGGATAGGGCTGCCGTAAGATCAGGCACAGGCTGGGACAGGTGGCAGCAGTAATGCGGTCACTATATGAGACTGTAGAGGTGAAGAAGGAGCTAAGCCATAAGTCAAAGCTCTTTTTTTACCGGTCGGTCTACATCCCAACCTATCCCATCCTTACCTATGGTCATGTTAAATCCTAGACAAGTATATTGGGCTCACTTTTTCAATTGTTTTGACTTTACTGTTACTTACCGTCAAGGATCTAAGAACACTAAAGCTGATGCTTTGTCCCGTCTTTGGGAAAAAGACCACCCACGACTGAAGAAACAATCATAAATCCCACATGCATAGTTGCACCGATTCAGTGGGAAATAATGAAGGAGATGTGGAGAGAACAAACTAATGACCCCTCTCCCCCTGGAGTGCCCACCAAATTGAGAATATGTCCCTTCCTCGGTATAATATAAAAACTTGTTAATAATATTAAAACGCAGTACATGCAGTCTGTAGTTCTAGCCCTCCCGGCATACGAAGAACTTTGCAGTTAATCAGAAATAAATTCTGGTGAGATTCTGTAGACAGGGATGTTTCTAATTTTGTTAAGACTTGCAGTATTTGTGGCCAAGCTAAATCACCAGTTACCTGCCAATCTGTTGGAGCCCTTGCCCATTCCACTGAGACCATGGTCCTATGTGAATATTGACTTCATTACTGATCTCCCTAGTTCACAAGGTTACACAACCATATTGGTGGTTATCAATTGGTTCTCTAATCTTGCAGATTGATCCCTAAGAAGAAACTGCCAACACCTATGGAAACCGCAGAAGCCTTGTTCAGGTCTTCCGATTCTATGGTTGTATGGGTGAAAGGCATCTGACAGCGGCCCCCAGTTCACATCACACATAGAGAAAGAATTTTGAACAACTCAACATTAATGTTAGTCTCACTTCAGGGTATCATCCAGAGTCAAATGGGCAGGCAGAGCAACTTAATCAAGAAACAGGGTGCTTCCTAAGATCATACTGTGGACGGGCACAAAATGATTGGTCTCACTTTTTACCATTGACAGAATATGCACAGAATTCCCTCACTAACTCCTCCACTGGTTTAACTCCCTTTAAGTGTGTTCTAGGCTTTCAACCACCATTATTCCCTTAGTCAGGAGAAACCTCCCTCGGTTTCAGCTGTAGAGGAGTAGATGAGAAGAGAGCAGCAGACTTGGAAGGAGGCACATGTAAGTCTTCAAAGGGCTTTTCATAGACAAAAAGTGCAGGCTGATCGTCATTACTGTAAAATTAAATCCTTTCTTCCTGGACAAATGGTATGGCTATCACGTAAGAAGCTTAGTCTTAAATACTTTGGCCCTTTTAAGATTTTACAACAGATTATGGCCATCTCCTATAGGTTAGGGTTGCCTTCCTTTTATCACTTATCCCCCACCTTTCACATGTCTGCTGGATTCTCAACGGTGCAGCAGTCATTTGTTCTACTTAGTTGACTGGGAGGGGTAGGGCCCAGAGGAATAGTTGTGGGGATATACGTTGATATTGTTGGCCTTCCCTGGCTCTTTTGCTCCACTCTCCTGATCTCGTGCCCAATAAACTTGCCCTTGACTTCTACCTGGTGTGAAATTCTACCTGACACTTTTTGAAAAGGGTTCTATATAGCACCAAAAATAATTCTTCTACTTTAACAAGCTTGACATCGTAACGATAGAAGAGCCCTTTTTGGTGCTTTATAGAACCCTTTTCAGAAAGGTTCTTTACAGAACCATAAACAAGTCAATCCCCATCAATCTGAAGAACACTTTCAAAATGCAAAGAATCCTTTAATCATGCAACCATTGTATTGAACCATTTACTTTACTAAAGAACCCTTGAAGAAACATCATTTTTAAGTGTGTAAGTGACTTAAGACTTTTCTGTAATATGGCCCCATGCTTCTGTAATAGCAGAGCTGTAATGAGGTTTGTAGATTAACAGGTTAATTATTTGTGATGTGCTGAATAATTCAGATAACCATCATGGTTTATCTTGTTCTTTAGAAAATGGCTTATCTGTGAGCAGAAGCCGACGTGTCCTGCATTGACAGAAAAAGTGTAACAGACGGACGAAACCCACGCAGACACGATTTCGTAAACGCCTTTTTGGCTGATTCATTCCAGTCTGGAACCTGACTCTACAAAGACAGCTTCAAAGATGCAATTCTACAGAGATGCACAGTATGCTGGTATGTACACCGTCACATGCAAAAGTTTGAACACCCCTGGTCAAATTAAGTTTTGTTGATTTTCTTAGGGGAAATATAAATATGGCATTTGTAGTTTGTAGATGAACATTTTGGAAAAAACGAAAAATGTGCCATAGCTTTTGCACAGGCCACATTTTACGTTTTTCCCCAACTTCTCTGTAGAGGTTGTGTTAATTTATTTGCACTTAGAAAATCAATTTGATTTGAGCAGGGTGTCCACACTTTTGCATATGAACTTTATGAAAAGAAAACTGTATATATGACATAAGAATCATTCTACCAAACTGGTTCAACATCAGAAGTCACATTTCTGGACTTTTTAACTGACTTGGAACTTTAGACTAAAATTCTTTAGCTGTGACCCTATACTTTAATTATGTTTATTTTATTAAAACAGATGATTTTTTCAATTCCATTTTGTCACCTATCAAAACAGCCATAACACTACCCAAACTTTGCCCAATGTCTCAGTAGTGACTATTTTCACTACAGAATTGTGTCTGTTAATGCAGTACTGCCTGAAGGCCTGAAGATCACTACGGGCCAATATTGGTTTCGGCCTTGTTCCTTACATACAGAGATTTCTCCAAATTCTCTGAATCTTATTATGTACCAAGTTCTTTGCTACTTTTTATTGGAAAATTATTCTTGAATTGTTTGCCCGTACATTCTTTCACCACTCCTCATCTTTACTTCTGAAAGACTCCGCCTCTCTGAGATGCTCTTTTTATACGCAGTCATGCTTCTGATGCCAATTAACCTAATTATTTATTAGAGGTTCTGTGTGTCTGTGTGTGTGTTTCCAATGTTGATTCGTTGGACCACAGCACACTTTTCCACTTCCCCTCCATCCATTTTAAATGAGCTCGGGCCCAGAGAAGGTGGCAGCATTCCTGGATCCTGTTTATATTTGGTTTCTTCTTTGCGTTTTTGGAGGTTTAACTTGCATTTGTGGATGCAGTGATGAACTGTTTTCACAGACAGTGGTTTTCAGAAGTGTTTCTGAGCCCATGCAGTGATTTCCACTACAGAATCATGTCTGTTTTTAATGCAGTGCCGCCTGAGGGCCCAAAGATCACAGCCAGCAAATACTGGTTTTTGGCCTTGTCCCTTACATACAGAGATTTCTCCAGATTCTCTGAATCTTTTAATGATATTCTGTACCGTAGATGATGAAAAGCAGAAGTTCTTTGATATTTTACATTGAGAAACGTTATTCTTGAATTGTT